CCACAGAATTGTTACTCAGGGCCACAGAACTGTTACTTAGGGCCACAGAATTGTTACTCAGGGACAGACACAGAATTGTTACTGAGGGACACAGAATTGTTACTGAGGGACACAGAATTGTTACTCAGGGACACAGAATTGTTACAGGGACAGACACAGATTGTTACTGAGGGCCACAGAACTGTTACTTAGGGCCACAGAACTGTTACTTAGGGCCACAGAAACGTTACTCAGGGACACAGAGAATTGTTACTGAGGGACAGACACAGAATTGTTACTGAGGGGACACAGAATTGTTACTGAGGGACACAGAATTGTTACTCAGGGACAGACACAGAATTGTTACTGAGGGCCACAGAAACTGTTACTTAGGGCCACACAGGGCCACAGAAACTGTTACTCAGGGACACAGAATTGTTACTCAGGGACACAGAATTGTTACTCAGGGACACAAATCGTTTAATTAAAGAGTATGTCAGACAACATGCAGAGGAGTGTGCAGAGGAGGCAATGTTTTAGGAGCGAGCAGACGTGGCAGCAGAGGAAGGGGTCGAGGCAGCACTATTCGCAGCCAGAGGCTAGTGCTCCCGGTTTCATCCAGTACAGTGAGGAAGAGCTAACAGAGGGCGGTCAGGAACGGGGGGGACATCCGCCTCTTCAGCAGCCAGGCGAAGAAGTAGTGGCGAGGAGAGTGGCTCGGTAGCCGGTGTGTAGAGACAGGTCTGTCTCCTGACCCACACGCAGCCGAGGGGGGCTAGTAGTGAGGCGGAGACCCTAATTGATGATGATGAGGCTGATCGCAATCTTGGCAGCCTCGTCGTCATCAGGCTATTGCTTCCGCATCATCAGGAGAAGAGGGTGGCAGCTTGGCAGCGAGCAAAACAGTCGGTGGGTTGTCTCCATCGCCACACTCTGCCATGTGCCACTTTCAGGTCTCCTCACACACTGCTGGTGTGTTTGAATTTTTTGACATAGGGTGCTGGCAGATTACGGGCCTCCCATAGCTGCTGCCAGGCCCCTAATCTCTGCCATGGGCCCCTATATACCGCCTCCTCATGCTGCTGCCAGGTCCAGAGTCTGTCAGGGTCCCTGTACGGCCTCCCATTGCTGTGTCTCCATCGCCACACTCTGCCATGTGCCACTTTCAGGTCTCCTCACACACTGCTGGTGTGTTCCATGAATTTTTTGACATAGGGTGCTGGCAGATTACGGGCCTCTATAGCTGCTGCCAGGCCCCTAATCTGCCATGGGCCCCTATATACCGCCTCCTCATGCTGCTGCCAGGTCCAGAGTCTGTCATGGGTCCCTGTACGGCCTCCCATTGCTGCTGTCTCCATCGCCACACTCTGCCATGTGCCACTTTCAGGTCTCCTCACACAATGCTGGTGTGTTGAATTTTTTGACATAGGGTGCTGGCAGATTACGGGCCTCCCATAGCTGCTGCCAGGCCCCTAATCTGCCATGGGCCCCTATACCGCCTCCTCATGCTGCTGCCAGGTCCAGGGGACGAGTACGTAGAGTCACAGGGGGGGAGGAACTTCTCAGTGTAATGAACAGAGAAATCGACAGATGGCTGTGTCTCCGCGCAAACTGAAAATCGGAACCACTTGTTGACCGACAACGGAAAGAACATGGTGTCTGCTCTGCGTCAAGGAAGGTTGTGCCATGCGCCATGCATGGCTCACGTGTTCAATCTGGTTGTCAAGCGGTTCCTAAAATCCACCACCTCCCATCCCACTGCAAGACATCCTTAAAATGTCACGTAAACTTTGCATGCATTTCAGCCATTCCTACACCGCAAAGCACACCCTCCTTGAGCTGCAGCGGCAGAACGGAATTCCACAGCATCGCCTGATCTGCGACGTTGCAACAAGGTGGAATTCAACCCTACACATGTTAGACCGCCTTTACGAACAGCGAAAGGCCATCACCGATTTCCTGATGTTACAAGCGGATAAAGGTACTCCCCTGTGTAACTTCGATGTCAGCCATTGGCAGCTCATGCGTGACACCTGCCGCTTGCTCAGGCCCTTTGAGGAGGCCACGCTATTCGTGAGTCGGCAGGGGACTATGGGATGAACGACGTCATTCCTCTGTTGCACGTCCTGGAACAAATGCTGTTAACAATGGCTGGTCAGGGTGCGGTAGACGTGGCGCACAGATCTCAACGCCACATGACCCCTGTGGGGGCAGGACAGGAAGAAGAGGAGGAGGTAAGGAGGACATTTGTGCTCAGGAATTATTGAGTGAAATGGGTGGTTTTTTCCACTCAGCGGACAGGAGTGGAGGAGCAGGAGCATCTGGTAGAGGAGGAGGAGGAGGAGACAGAGGACCCAGACGCACCGTGGCAGTATGCTGTGGAGATGGAGGCAGGGAGTCCCTCGCATTCCTTGGCACAAATGGCCCATAGCATGCTCGGTTGCTTGCGTAGCGACAGCCGAATAATAACCATCATGACAGAGGGATGACTTTTGGCTGTCCACCTTGTTGGACCCTCGCTACCGTTCAAAAATGGTGGCCTTTTTCACACCTGCTGAGAGGGAGGCCAAAATAAAACGTACTATAAAAACCACCTATGTAGTCAGTTGGTCTCTGCCTTTCTGCGCCAACGTCCATCCTCAGACACTGTGGGCCCTGTGCGCTCGCGTTCCGCTGCCATGGCAGCAGGGGAGGGGTGGGGTGGTAGGAGCAGTGGCAGCTCCACCACAGCGGCGCTTGCCTCAGTCTGCAGTCGTGATGATGAGTAGCTTTCTTCACCAGCGCAGTGAGGAAACTACTAACCAGCCGCAGCAGCAGCAGCAGCATCAGGTGGACCTGGAGCAGGACCTCAAACAACAGGCTTGGGCCTACTTGGACAGCACCCTGCCAACCGAGGTAGACAATCCCCTTGACTACTGGGCAACGAAACTTGACCTTTGGCCCCAACTAGCTGAATTTTTTGACCTTGAAAGGCTGTCATGCCCGGCCAGTAGCGTGGCATCGGAGCGCGTGTTTTAGTGCTGGCAGGAGGTATTGTAACTCCGCCGGGGACACGACTGTCCACCCAAAGTGTGGAGAGACTCACGTTTGTGAAAATGAATCAGGCGTGGATTAGTCTGGATTTCAAACCACCAGTTCCTGACACAACTGACTAAATCCGCCATGAATCATGCCCCAAACATGTGCCACTTTCAGGTCTCCTCACACACTGCTGGTGTGTTTGAATTTTTTGACATAGGGTGCTGGCAGATTACGGGCCTCCCATAGCTGCTGCCAGGCCCCTAATCTGCCATGGGCCCCTATACCGCCTCCTCATGCTGCTGCCAGGTCCAGAGTCTCTCATGGGTCCCTGTACGGCCTCCCATTGCTGCTGTCTCCATCGCCACACTCTGCCATGTGCCACTTTCAGGTCTCCTCACACTGCTGGTGTGTTCAATTTTTTGACATAGGGTGCTGGCAGATTACGGGCCTCCCATAGCTGCTGCCAGGCCCCTAATCTGCCATGGGCCCCTATATACCGCCTCCTCATGCTGCTGCCAGGTCCAGAGTCTGAGTCTCTCATGGGTCCCTGTACGGCTCCCATTGCTGCTGTCTCCATCGCCACACTCTGCCATGTGCCACTTTCAGGTCTCCTCACACACTGCTGGTGTGTTGTTGATTTTTTTGACATAGGGTGCTGGCAGATTACGGGCCTCCTCATATAGCTGCTGCCAGGCCCCTAATCTGCCATGGGCCCCTATATATACCGCCTCCTCATGCTGCTGCCAGGTCCAGAGTCTCTCATGGGTCCCTGTACGGCCTCCCATTGCTGCTGTCTCCATCGCCACACTCTGCCATGTGTGCCACTTTCAGGTCTCCTCACACTGCTGGTGTGTTCCATTTTTTGACATAGGGTGCTGGCAGATTACGGGCCTCCCATAGCTGCTGCCAGGCCCCTAATCTGCCATGGGCCCCTATATACCCTCCTCATGCTGCTGCCAGGTCCAGAGTCTGTCATGGGTCCCTGTACGGCCTCCCATTGCTGCTGTCTCCATCGCCACACTCTGCCATGTGCCACTTTCAGGTCTCCTCACACTGCTGGTGTGTTCCATTTTTTGACATAGGGTGCTGGCAGATTACGGGCCTCCCATAGCTGCTGCCAGGCCCCTAATCTGCCATGGGCCCCCTATATACCGCCCTCCTCATGCTGCTGCCAGGTCCAGAGTCTCTCATGGGTCCCTGTACGGCCTCCCATTGCTGCTGTCTCCATCGCCACACTCTGCCATGTGCCACTTTCAGGTCTCTCTCACACTGCTGGGTGTGTTCAATTTTTTGACATAGGGTGCTGGCAGATTACGGGCCTCCCATAGCTGCTGCCAGGCCCCTAATCTGCCATGGGCCCCTATATACCGCCTCCTCATGCTGCTGCCAAGTCCAGAGTCTCTCATGGGTCCCTGTACGGCCTCCCATTGCTGCTGTCTCCATCGCCACACTCTGCCATGTGCCACTTTCAGGTCTCCTCACACTGCTGGTGTGTTTGAATTTTTTGACATAGGGTGCTGGCAGATTACGGGCCTCCCATAGCTGCTGCTGCAGGCCCCTAATCTGCCATGGGCCCCTATATACCGCCTCCTCATGCTGCTGCCAGGTCCAGAGTCTGTCATGGGTCCCTGTACGGCCCTCCCATTGCTGCTGTCTCCATCGCCACACTCTGCCATGTGCCACTTTCAGGTCTCCTCACACACTGCTGGTGTGTTCCATTTTTTTGACATAGGGTGCTGGCAGATTACGGGCCTCCCATAGCTGCTGCCAGGCCCCTAATCTGCCATGGGCCCCTATATACCGCCTCCTCATGCTGCTGCCAGGTCCAGAGTCTCTCATGGGTCCCTGTACGGCCTCCCATTGCTGCTGTCTCCATCGCCACACACTCTGCCATGTGCCACTTTCAGGTCTCCTCACACTGCTGGTGTGTTCCATTTTTTGTCATAGGGTGCTGGCAGATTACGGGCCTCCCATAGCTGCTGCCAGGCCCCTAATCTGCCATGGGCCCCTATACCGCCTCCTCATGCTGCTGCCAGGTCCAGAGTCTCTCATGGGTCCCTGTACGGCCTCCCATTGCTGCTGTCTCCATCGCCACACTCTGCCATGTGCCACTTTCAGGTCTCCTCACACTGCTGGTGTGTTCCATTTTTTGACATAGGGTGCTGGCAGATTACGGGCCTCCCATAGCTGCTGCCAGGCCCCTAATCTGCCATGGGCCCCCCCTATACCGCCTCCTCATGCTGCTGCCAGGTCCAGAGTCTCTCATGGGTCCCTGTACGGCCTCCCATTGCTGCTGTCTCCATCGCCACACTCTGCCATGTGCCACTTTCAGGTCTCCTCACACACTGCTGGTGTGTGTGTTTGAATTTTTTGACATAGGGTGCTGGCAGATTACGGGCCTCCCATAGCTGCTGCCAGGCCCCTAATCTGCCATGGGCCCCTATATACCGCCTCCTCATGCTGCTGCCAGGTCCAGAGTCTCTCATGGGTCCCTGTACGGCCTCCCATTGCTGCTGTCTCCATCGCCACACTCTGCCATGTGCCACTTTCAGGTCTCCTCACACACTGCTGGTGTGTTCAATTTTTTTGACATAGGGTGCTGGCAGATTACGGGCCTCCCATAGCTGCTGCCAGGCCCCTAATCTGCCATGGGCCCCTATACCGCCTCCTCATTGCTGCTGCTCTCATGGGTCCCTGTAGGTCCACATTGTGCTGTCTCCATCGCCACACTGCCATGTGCCACTTTCAGGTCTCCTCACACTGCTGGTGTGTTCAATTTTTTGACATAGGGTGCTGGCAGATTACGGGCCTCCCATAGCTGCTGCCAGGCCCCTAATCTGCCATGGGCCCCTATACCGCCTCCTCATCATGCTGCTGCCAGGTCCAGAGTCTCTCATGGGTCCCTGTACGGCCTCCCATTGCTGCTGTCTCCATCGCCACACTCTGCCATGTGCCACTTTCAGGTCTCCTCACACTGCTGGTGTGTTCAATTTTTTTGTCACATAGGGTGCTGGCAGATTACGGGCCTCCCATAGCTGCTGCCAGGCCCCTAATCTGCCATGGGCCCCTATATACCGCCTCCTCATGCTGCTGCCAGGTCCAGAGTCTGTCATGGGTCCCTGTACGGCCTCCCATTGCTGCTGTCTCCATCGCCACACTCTGCCATGTGCCACTTTCAGGTCTCCTCACACTGCTGGTGTGTTCAATTTTTTGACATAGGGTGCTGGCAGATTACGGGCCTCCCATAGCTGCTGCCAGGCCCCTAATCTGCCATGGGCCCCTATATACCGCCTCCTCATGCTGCTGCCAGGTCCAGAGTCTCTCATGGGTCCCTGTACGGCCTCCCATTGCTGCTGTCTCCATCGCCACACTCTGCCATGTGCCACTTTCAGGTCTCCTCACACACTGCTGGTGTGTTCAATTTTTTGACATAGGGTGCTGGCAGATTACGGGCCTCCATAGCTGCTGCCAGGCCCCTAATCTGCCATGGGCCCCTATACCGCCTCCTCATGCTGCTGCCAGGTCCACAGTGTCTCATGGGTCCATGTGCGGCCTCCCATTGCTGCTGTCTCCATCGCCACACTCTGCCATGTGCCACTTTCAGGTCTCCTCACACTGCTGGTGTGTTCCATTTTTTGACATAGGGTGCTGGCAGATTACGGGCCTCCCATAGCTGCTGCCAGGCCCCTAATCTGCCATGGGCCCCTATATACCGCCTCCTCATGCTGCTGCCAGGTCCAGAGTCTGTCATGGGTCCCTGTACGGCCTCCCATTGCTGCTGTCTCCATCGCCACACTCTGCCATGTGCCACTTTCAGGTCTCCTCACACACTGCTGGTGTGTTTCCATTTTTTGACATAGGGTGCTGGCAGATTACGGGCCTCCCATAGCTGCTGCCAGGCCCCTAATCTGCCATGGGCCCCTATATACCGCCTCCTCATGCTGCTGCCAGGTCCAGAGTCTGTCATGGGTCCCTGTACGGCCTCCCATTGCTGCTGTCTCCATCGCCACACTCTGCCATGTGCCACTTTCAGGTCTCCTCACACACTGCTGGTGTGTTCCATTTTTTGTCATAGGGTGCTGGCAGATTACGGGCCTCCCATAGCTGCTGCCAGGCCCCTAATCTGCCATGGGCCCCTGTACCGCCTCCTCATGCTGCTGCCAGGTGCACAGTGTGCTGTCTCATGCCATGTGTGCCACTTTCAGGTCTCCTCACACTGCTGGTGTGTTCAATTTTTTGACATAGGGTGCTGGCAGATTAAGGGCCTCCCATAGCTGCTGCCAGGCCCCTAATCTGCCATGGGCCCCTATACCGCCTCCTCATGCTGCTGCCAAGTCCAGAGTCTCTCATGGGTCCCTGTACGGCCTCCCATTGCTGCTGTCTCCATCGCCACACTCTGCCATGTGCCACTTTCAGGTCTCCTCACACACTGCTGGTGTGTTCAATTTTTTCACATAGGGTGCTGGCAGATTACGGGCCTCCCATAGCTGCTGCCAGGCCCCTAATCTGCCATGGGCCCCTATATACCGCCTCCTCATGCTGCTGCCAAGTCCAGAGTCTGTCATGGGTCCCTGTACGGCCTCCCATTGCTGCTGTCTCCATCGCCACACTCTGCCATGTGCCACTTTCAGGTCTCCTCACACACTGCTGGTGTGTTCAATTTTTTGACATAGGGTGCTGGCAGATTACGGGCCTCCCATAGCTGCTGCCAGGCCCCTAATCTGCCATAGGCCCCTATATACCACCTCCTCTTGCTGCTGCCAGGTCCAGAGTCTGTCATGGGTCCCTGTACGGCCTCCCATTGCTGCTGTCTCCATCGCCACACTCTTCCATGTGCCACTTTCAGGTCTCCTCACACTGCTGGTGTGTTCCATTTTTTGTCATAGGGTGCTGGCAGATTACGGGCCTCCCATAGCTGCTGCCAGGCCCCTAATCTGCCATGGGCCCCTATATACCGCCTCCTCATGCTGCTGCCAAGTCCAGAGTCTGTCATGGGTCCCTGTACGGCCTCCCATTGCTGCTGTCTCCATCGCCACACTCTGCCATGTGCCACTTTCAGGTCTCCTCACACTGCTGGTGTGTTGAATTTTTTGACATAGGGTGCTGGCAGATTACGGGCCTCCTATAGCTGCTGCCAGGCCCCTAATCTGCCATGGGCCCCTATACCGCCTCCTCATGCTGCTGCCAGGTCCAGAGTTTCTCATGGGTCCCTGTACGGCCTCCCATTGCTGCTGTCTCCATCGCCACACTCTGCCATGTGCCACTTTCAGGTCTCCTCACACTGCTGGTGGGTTCCATTTTGTCATAGGGTGCTGACAGATTACGGGCCTCCCATTGCTGCTGCCAGGCCTGTAATCTGCCATGGGCCTCCGTACCGCCTGGTCACGCTGCTGCTGGGTCCACAGTGTGACATGGGTCCCTGTACCGCCTCCCATTGCTCCCACTCTGCCATGTGCCACTTTGAGGTCTCCTCACACTCCTGCTGGTTTCCATTTTGTCATAGGTTGCTGTATGGCCCTCCCATTGCTGCTGCCTCCACCGCCACACTGTGGCTCCAAACACTGGTTTTGGCCCCGTGACTGCCCAAATGTGTGAAGTGTGCGGTGATTCTAAGATCGACGGCACTCATCTGCATGTCATACTGACTGACAGTATTATTTCTCTTCCCCAGCAGACTCCAAGGGCATTTAAATTAAAGGTACAGTGTTCTGCACTAATATTAAGTCTCTCTGAAGCCTAGAAACACCCTTTTTTAAGTTAAATTCACAGCGAATATATTCGACTCGAATCGAATATTTTCCACGAATTCGCCGAATCAGTCGAATCGAATTTTTGAATACTTCGCTCATCTCTAGAAAGAATGTATTTGCAAATTATGGTGGAAAATAGGTATTTGGTCACCTACAAACAAGCAAGATTTCTGGCTCTCACAGACCTGTACTTTCTTCTTTAAGAGGCTCCTCTGTCCTGCACTCATTACCTGTATCAATGGCACCTGTTTGAACTTGTTATCAGTATAAAAGACACCTGTCCACAGCCTCAAACAGTCACACTCCAGACTCCACTATGGTGAAGATCAAAGAGCTGTCCAAGGACACCAGAAACAAAATTGTAGACCTGCACCAGGCTGGGAAGACTGAATCTGCAATAGTCAAGCAGCTTGGTGTGAACAAATCAACTGTGGGAGCAATAATTAGAAAAATGGAAGACATACAAGACCACTGATAATCTCCCTCGATCTGGGGCTCCACGCAAGATCTCACCCCGTGGGGTCAAAATGATGACAAGAACGGTGAGCAAAAATCCCAGGATCACACTGGGGGGACCTAGTGAATGACCTGCAGAGAGCTGGGACCAACGCAACAAAGGCTACTATCAGTAACACACTACGCCGCCAGGGACTCAGATCCTGCAGTGCCAGACGTGTCCCCCTGCTTAAGCCAGTACATGTCCGGGCCCATCTGAAGTTTGCTAGAGAGTATTTGGATGATCCAGAAGAGGATTGGGAGAATGTCATATGGTCAGATGAAACCAAAATAGAACTGTTTGGGTAGAAACACAACTCGTCGTGTTTGGAGGAGAGAGAAGGCTGAGTTGCATCCAAAGAACATCATACCTACTGTGAAGCATGGGGGTGGCAACATCATGCTTTGGGGCTGTTTCTCCACAAAGGGACCAGGATGACTGATCCATGTACAGGACAGAATGAATGGGGCCATGTATCGTGAGATTTTGAGTGCAAACCTCCTTCCATCAGCAAGGGCATTGAAGATGAAACGTGGCTGGGTCTTCAAACATGACAATGATCCCAAACATACTGCTCGGGCAATGAAGGAGTGGCCTCGTAAGAAGCATTTCAAGGTCCTGGAGTGGCCTAGCCAGTCTCCAGATCTCAACCCCATAGAAAACCTTTGGAGGGAGTTGAAAGTCCGTGTTGCCCAGCAACAGCCCCAAAACATCACTGCTCTAGAGGAGATCTGCATGGAGGAATGGGCCAACATACCAGCAACAGTGTGTGCCAACCTTGTGAAGACTTACAGGAAACGTTTGACCTCTGTCATTGCCAACAAAGGATATATAACAAAGTATTGACATGAACTTTTGTTATTGACCAAATACTTATTTTCCACCATAATTTGCAAATAAATTCTTTCCAAATCAGCCAATGTGATTGTCTGGATTTTTTTTTCTCATTTTGTCTCTCATAGTTGAGGTCTACCTATGATGCCAATTACAGGCCTCTCTCATCTTTTTAAGTGGGACAACTTGCACAATTGGTGGCTGACTAAATACTTTTTTGCCCCACTGTATCAGACCCTTTGTGGTTTATTTACTAAAGCTGGAGAGTGCAAAATCAGACTCACTTCTGCATAGCAACCAATCAGCTTCCAGGTTTCATTGCCAAAGCTTCATTGAACAAGCTGAGGTTAGAAGCTGATTGGTTTCTATGCAGAAAGGAGTCTGATTTTGGACTCTCCAGCTTTAGTAAATAAACCCCTTTGAGTCTGGTATGAATTTTAAGGAGGTACCTCATGCACACACAAATACAAATGCATGAGGTCCCCCTTAAAATCCATACTAGACCCTTTGGTATCTTGATAATCAGACGCTAGGGCAACACAGGGCCTTGAAACATTTAGTAAAGAGGGCACTCTTTACTTCTGGAGGAAAAGAAATGTAATCTCCAAACATGGAAAGGTTTCTTCACAGTGAGAGCTATGAAAATGTGGAATAGACTCCCTCAAGAGTTGGTTCTGGTCAACTCAGTGGATTGCTTCAAAAAAGGCCTGGATTCTTTCTTAGATACACAGAATATAACTGGATACTAACATTTATAGGTAAAGTTGATCCAGGGAATATCCAGGGGATCAGGAAGGAATTTTTTCCCAGCAGGAGCAAATTGGATCATGGTTTGCTGGGTTTTTTGTCTTCCTCTGGATCAACTGTGGGTGTCGGATTATAACTTTTTTTTTTCCTATGGTTGAACTGGATGGACTTTTGTCTTTTTTCAGCCAGACTAACTATGTAACTATGTAAAGGCTTAGAACTCCTTGTGTACAAAGACTTTTTAAATGATCAAAGGTGGAAAGTATCTACTGTATGTGGGAAAATATTAATTGTGAGCATAAAAAGACTACCCTGAAGCCACTGAAAGAGACAAATTTCTGCTCCAGCAATTTTCTTTCTCATCCTATGAAAAATCAGGAGACAGACTGAGAGAAGAATAGAACTGTATAACTGGTGGCTCTCAATACTGTAGGTTCTGAGCAGGGGCGGACTGACCATTTGGAAACTCGGGCACTGCCCGAGGGCCCGGGGTCAGTAGGGGGTCCCATGAGATGCCCCTGGTACCTTTTTCATAGGCTTTTTTGAGTTTGGGCAAGGACACAGGGGCCCTGTGATCCCCTATTGCCCGGGGGCCCCATGAGTTGTCAGTCCGCCCCTAGTTCTGAGATAATAAGGTGAACCTCAACAAGTTCACCTGTTTGGTTTAGGATGTCCTTCTACTTCTTCTCTTACCACTTGTAAAATATTTTTGTAAGTACATAATTAGATGATGTACTTATATTAGTTCTTATCACAGTTCTTAATAGGGCTTTACAATACTGTATTTTTACTAAATTCTGTAATAGGAGTGAAAAGCTTGGAACACAATATCTGATGTCGAGAAAACTAGGACCGTAGGTTCTCAAATAATATAATGGGAGGTGACCCTCAACAGGTTCATCTGTTTGGTTTAGGATGTCTTTCTACTTCCTCTCTTACTGCTTGTAAAACATTTTTGTAAGTACATATTCAAAAACAGGAGACAGATGGAGAGAAGACTAGGACTGTATGATTGGTGGCTCTCAATACCGTTGGTTCCCAGATGATGGGAGGTGAACCTCAACAGGTTCATATATTTGGTTTAGGACGTCCTTCTACTGCCTCTTCTACTGCTTGGAAAATATTTTTTGTTTGTACATGTAGCACTACCCCCTTAGAAGATTTGAGATCCCCTATAGTCCTGCTTAGCTAGGCATCACACAGCTTCCATTCAGACTTGTATCAGGAGACAGAAAACCAGTCCTTGAGCTTTGTTTTGAAGTTTTATTAGGGATGTAGAACTTGGATAGGGTAAGGGGTGTATGGCATGCTCAAGGGAATGATAACTGAAAGCAAACTTCCTGAACTATATACCAGCCTTACAGTCAGAACTTCTCTTCTAGGAGAGCTCTCCATCCTCTCCTGGTGTACGACCCCAGACCCCAGATAAATCCTGTTCTGCATCTAGCTGTCTGGAGGAATCCCTGGGCAAGGTAGTCCAAAGTTGCTGTAACAGTCCTGAGTACAGAGCTAATCAGGTTCCCCAACCAAATGCTCTCTCCCCTTTCTGGCCCAGGGGTTGTAGAAGTACCCACTGAGTCCTTCTCCTTTGCTGCTGTTGGGTAGGTGGCTGCTACCAGGTCTATCAACAGGGCCGCTCCCTTCCCTGTCGCCAGGAGGTACTCCCTCAGGGGGCCAGTGAAGTCCACAGCTTATTTCCTTTCAAGGTCCCTCTGCCCGGAGGTGAGCTCCTTCCAGCCTGGGCTCTCTCCCAGCCCCCTGCATCTCATCCTCACTTCTCTATCAACCCTCCTTCCATGTTTCTCTATAAGCATTTAGATTTAAGTGTGCATGATTGGTGTGCATCCCTACGGCCTCATGTGGTACATTTATTCCCAAACAATGTAAAATTTGAGCAAATAATTAATCATATACAAACATATATTTATTATAATTAAGGGGCACCCACCTCCCCCACCACTGCATGTTACATAAGGGAATTGTGTATTTTTTTTATAATGTTTTGTGTATTTTTTAAGCCTCATTAAAAGACCTGCACCCCACTACATTTTGTTTAACAATTTATTTTGCGCTGATACATGTACAGCTCCCCTAAAATTCATTGGATTGGCAAATCTCCCCTCAAAATGAACCCAGGCTATGTTTAATGAATATGTTGGGAAACCAATAGTTGTGTGCGGTGTCATGTAATCTAGAGTCCAGGGAAAACATGCCAAACTGTTCCCCCAAGTTGTATGAGAATTATGTGTCAGCAAAAATCCCCTCCTCCCCCAAAAATGGAGCACTAATCTGTATGCTTCCCTCCTAAGCATAAATCCCCCCTCTTTCCTGTACAAATCCCCCCTTGCAGCACAAATCATTGCCTACACCATCCCTGCATCCATGAGATTTATAGGGTGTGCTTACCCTCCTCCCACCCACATTCTTTGCAGGTAGGGGATGGGGGCAGGTAAGCAAGCCCTGTGCAGTCCTAATCTTACAGTCCTGATCCAGGAGCATTGCAGTAGCAGGAGGGAGAAGCTTTAGTAGAGAGAGAGCACAGCCCACACCTCCTCTCCAGATTTAGCTTGTTTCTTTCAAAGGTAAGCTGACAGAAGTAGTGCTGCCACTGTCACTAATCCTTTCCGTTGGTAGCGGCAGCAACTCCCCATATGGAAGAAAACTATATTTGAAATATATTTTTTAAATATTCTTCCCAAATATATTGACGTATATTTGAAATGCTACAATTTTGGCCGTATTCAATATATTTTCAAAATATATTTCAATAAATAATATAACAATATATTTTTAAAAAATATATATTTTTATATATATTCTTCAGATATTTTTTTTACATATAAAAACCTCAATTTTAACATATATTTTTACATATATTTCTAAATGCATTCCAAA